TTTGAACCAGCCTGGGCAACTTGGTGAGACCTTATCTCTACAATAAATCAATAAATAAGTCAGGCATGGTAGCATGCGCCTGTAGTTACAGTTACTTGGAAGGCTGAGGCGGGATTGCCTGTGCCCAGCTGGTCAATGCTGGGGTGGCTGTGAGCATGCCACGGCACTCCAGCCTTGGCGACAGAAGGAAACTCCAACTCCAAAAAAAAAAAAAAGAAAAATTAGCTGGGCATGGTGGTACATGCCTACAGTCCCAACTACTTGGGAGGCTGAGGCAGGAGGACAACTGGAGCCTAGAAGTTTGAGGTTGTGGTGAGCTGTGATCGCACCACTGCACTCCAGCCTGGGCGACAGAGTAAGATACCAACTCAGACAATCAAATAAAATGAAGAAATGATTAGGAATAAACCAAGTGTGGTGAAGTGTGCCTACAATCCCAGCTACTCTGGAGGCTGAGGTGGGAGTTCAAGTCTGCAACGTGCCAGTATCCCAACTGTGAACAGTCAGTGTACTCCAGCCTGAAAACACACAAAAATGCAACAGGTAAAAGAGACAGGGAAAAAGAGAGAAAGAGGAAGGGAAGATGAGTTAGGGAAGAGGAAACTAGAACTCAGTGTTCACCTCACTTCCTCCCTCAGCAAAGTCTGAATTTCCTTTGCAGAGCAATTCTTTGCCATTTCATCAGAAGCCTCAGGAGTAACATAAAGAGTTGACCTTAGATGTCCCTAATCTCCATCAGCAGCACTTCACTGCCAGATCTACAATCAGCACAGCAACACTAGTTTGAAGCTTGCAGCCTTAGAATAGTTAGTATACTGTATCTACTACATTTCTCTGCTATTTACCGGCTGTGTGACCTTTCAAGTCATTCAACCTTTCTTTTTTTTATTTTTATTTTTTGAGTTGGAGTCTCACTCTCACCCAGACTGGAGTGCAGTGGCTGCTCCCGGCCACTGCAGCCTCGACCTGCTGGGCTCCGGCGATCCTTCCGCCTCAGCCTTCCAAATAGTTGGAACTACAGGCGCGCACTACCACGCCCGGCTAGTTTTGTTTTTTGTTTTTTTTGAGTTGGAGTCTCACTCTGTCACCCAGACTGGTGTGCAGTGGCCGCTCCCAGCCACCGCAGCCTCGACCTGCTGGGCTCCGGCGATCCTTCCGCCTCAGCCTTCCAAGTAGCTGGAACGACAGTTGTGCGCTACCACACCCAGCTAATTTTTGACTCTATTGTAGAGATGAGGTCTCACCAAGTTGCCCAGGTGGGTCTCAAATCCGTGGGCTCAGGCAATCCACTCACCTCAGCCTCCCAAAGTGCGGGATTACAGGCTGAGCCACTGAATCCAGCTCATTCAACCCTTCTATGCCTCAGTTTTCTTATCTATAGAACAAAGACAGTAATAATACCTTCCTCAAAAGATTGATAGAGGATTACGTCAATAGTTACAAAGCAGTTAAGACTGTATCTGACACATAGCAAGTACTGTGTATTTATTATATAATAAATATGCAAAATAGAAATATCGCCACTTTCTTTTTTCTCCTTTTGAGTTGGAGTCTCACTGTCGCCCAGGCTAGAGTGCAGTGGCCCACTCATGGCCACCGTAGCCTCGATCTGCTCAGGCGATCCTTCTACCTCAGCTTTCCAAGTAGCTGAAACTACAGGCGTGTGCTACTACACCCGGCTAATTTTTTGATTTATTGTAGAGACAAGGTCTCACCAAGTTGCCCAGGCTGGTCTCGAACCCCGGGGCTCAGGCAATCCTCTCGCCTCAGCCTCCCAAAGTGCTAGGATTACAGGCTTAAACCACCGCACCTGGCTATACAGTCACTTTCTAGCACCCTTCAGTATAAGGTTCAGTCATGTTTACTGCTAATCCTGAAGTTTGGAAAAACAAAGTCAGGGTGATTTTAAAGGCAGCAATTCATTGATAAGACTGCTCAGTCCAGTTTGGTGGCTCAACCCTGTAATCCCAGCACTTTGGGAGATGGAGGAGAGAGGATTGCCTGAGCTCAGGGGTTTGAGGCCAGCCTGGGCAACTTGGTGAGACCTCGTCTCTAAAATAAATAAAAAAATTAGCCGGGTGTAGTAGCACACACCTGTCGTTCCAGCTACTTGGCAGGCTAAGATGGAAGGAATGAGACTATGACTCAAAAAAAAAAAAATAAAAGACTGCCCAAAAGGGCAGAGTAGGAAAAAGTCAAGTTAGAATAACTTTAATGATATAGAATTCGGAGCACTTATTTGGAATTAAGAAAGAAAATCTGGGTTCTAGCCCCAGCTCCATTACCAAATAACTGATAACCAAAGCTAAACAATTAACTGTTTCCTTCTTCCATCCCCCCGCTTTTTTTTTCTGAGTTGGAGTCTCACTCTGTCATCAAGGCTGGAATACAGTAGCATACTCTTGGCCACCACAGCCTCAACCTGCTGGGTTCAGACAATCCTTCTGCCCTAGCCTTCCAAGTAGCTGGAACTTACAAATGTGCTACCATGCCCAGCTAATTTTAAAATTTATTGTAGAGACAAGGTCTCACCAAGTTGCCCAGGCTGGTCTCCAACCCCTGGGCTCAGGCAATCCTCTCACCTTGAGCCACTGTGCCCAGCCTCCATTTCCACATTTAAGATAACATTTGGCAGGCACGGTGGCTCATGCCTATAATAATTCCAGCACTTTGGGAGGCTGAGGTGAGAGACTGCCTGAGCCCAGGCGTTTAAGACCAGCCTGGGCAACTTGGTGAGACCTCATCTCAACAATAAATCAAAAATTAGCCGGGTGTGGCAGCGCATGCCTGTAGTTCCAGCTACTTGGAAGGCTGAGGTACAAGGACCGCTTGAGCCCAGCAGGTCAAGGCTGTGGAGGCTGTGAACGTGCCACTGCCCTCCAGCCTGGACACTGGGCACAGAGTGGGACTCCAGCTCAAAAACAAAACAAAACAAAAACAAAAACAAAATCCCACTTAAACTTAACTCAGAGTCTGATTCTAAGACTCCAATAAATAAGGGCATGTATAAAGGTACTCAAGGCCTGGCGGGATGGCTCTCGCAATCCCAGCACTTTGGAAGGCTGAGGCAGAAGGTTCGCCTGAGCCCGGCAGGTCGAGGCTGCGGTGGCCGTGAGTGTGTTACTGCACTCCAGCCTAGGTGACAGAATGAGACTCCAACACAAATACATAAATAAATGAATAAAAATTTAAAGAAAAGAAAAAGAAGTCGGGCTTGGTGGCTCAGCCTGTAATCCTGCGCCTTTGGGAGGCTGAGGTGAGTGGATTGCCTGAGCCTGCGAGTTCGAGATCTGCCTGGGCAGCGAGACCTCATCTCTACAATAAACCAAAAAATCAGCTGGGTGTGGTAGCACATGCCTGTAATTCCGGCTACTTGGAAGGCTGAGGCGGAAGGATTGTCGGAGCCCAGCAGGTTGAGGCTGCGGTGGCCGGAAGCGGCCACTGCACTCCAGTCTGGGTGACAGAGTGAGACTCCAACTCAAAAAATAAATAAATAAATAAAAGAAAACAGAAAAAGAAAAAGAAAGGCCAGGCATGGTGGCTAACACCTATAATATCAGCACTTTGGAGAGAGGATTGCCTGAGCCCACGGGTTTGAGACCTGCCTGGGCAACTTAGCAAGACCTCATTTCTACAAATAAATCAATCAACTGGGCATGATGGTACATGCCTGTAGTCCAGCGACTTGGAAAGCTGAGGCGGAAGGATCACCTGAGCCCAGCAGGTGGAAGCTGTGGTGTCCATGAGAGCAGTGTGCCACCTCACTCCAGCCTGAGTGAGAATGAGACTCCGATTCAACAAAAAACAAAAAAAAGCCTAGTGCAGTTGCTCATGCATGTAATCCCAGCATTTTAGGAGGCCAAGGCAAGAGGAAAGCCTGAGTCCAGGAGTTCGAGACCAGCCTGGGCAACTTGGTGAAACTGCCTCTACACAATAAATCAAAAAATTAGCCAGGCATGATGGTGTGTGCCTGTGGTTCCAGCTATTGGAAGGGTGAGGCAGAAAGATCCCCCGAACCCATCATGTTGAGGCTGCGGTGGCCTTGAGCATGCCACTGCACTCCAGTCTAGGTAACAGAGTGAGACTCCAAAAAACAAACAAACAAAACAAACAAACAAACAAAAAACCCACAAAACTTTTTTTTTTTTTAAAAGCCAATTTCAGAATAGCAAGTCAACTAAATTTTTGCATAAAAGCATCTAGAACAGTGCTTGTGCATAGCTGAATTAAATAAATATTTGTTTCTTTCTTTTTTTTTTTTTTGAGTTGGA